TCCTTTGGAAGCAGGCATCCCTCCTCAGCCCCTTCCAACATCCTTCTCTGTACTCTTTACGTTCTTCTTCACCTTATGTTACAGCCTCAGCTTCCCACCCCTTCCATTCCCCAGATGCAGCCAGGGAGGAACAACCAGACATGTCCAAGCCTACTTCCTCGGCACATCTGGCCCTGGGGTCTCCCCCCTGGAGCTGTGGGGTGGGCAGGGGGTCCCATCCCGCAGCATGTGCTACCAGCCCCCTCTTGTGCTGCTGCTGCAGAACGGCCTTGGCGAGGCACAACGGAGCCAGAGGCTTTTGTGCAAGAGGTTGCTGAGATCCTGCTCCCCTGGAGCGGGAGGATGGGCAGGCAGAAGCTTTGCTCCTGGCCCGGCTGCCTGCCCGTCCTCCCGCCCTAGGAGAGCAAGGTTCAGGCTTTGTAAACGACAAAGTTGGAAGAAACAAATGCTAAAACAACCTCAGGCCAATGCAGACACTTCTACATCATAGACTTGTGCGTGTACCTGGTTACACGCAGCCACGATGGCCAAGGTGGGTTTGCAACTCCGTTCGTCACAATTCTCAGCCCCAGCAGCGCAGGAGCTTCAGCCAGAAGCAGAGAGGATGAAGAGGGACTCAGTTTCCCCTCTGGTGCAAACGGAGCCAGGCTTAAAATCATGTAAGGCACCCCATGGGAGCGTCGGGTGGTGGATCTGTAAATCCTTCCCACCAGCAACGCAGGGGAGGCTGGTTTAGCCTGGGAGAGGAGCCTGATTTAATCCAGGAGAGGTGGAACTGGGGAGGGGAGTGCAGTAATGCCCACTCCAGCTGAGATTCAGCATGGAAAGGAAAGATCTGCTCCCCCCAACCTGGACTGAAACCAGCACCTGGAAGGCTGGTGCTAGGAAGTATCTGAACCTCATCCCGTGATGTACAGCTGGGGACAGCTTTTCCTTCCATCAAGACACAGGAGCCCAGAAACAACTCAATCTCATTTCTCATGCATGGGCACTCCCCAGGAACAAAGCTGGGCTGGAGAAGGATGAGGCCAGAGAGCTGGCACCAGCAGAAATCCCACCCTGGTCCACAGCATAAGCAAAGGTCAGTGCAGGACCCAGCACGAAGATCTTGGCATCTACATGCCTGCACAATTTAGGAGCTTCAGCACAAAACCCTCACTGGAGGGGATAAGCAAACAGAGCTAAACATGGTAATTTATTCACTCCATGAAAAAATATTAGTTAATCCAAGCCAATGAGATTGTAAAGCCTGATAACTGGTCTGGCTGGTGCCAACATCTATCGCTAGCAGTATTCGTGTTTTTTGTCTACACTGCTGCCCTAAGCAGTGAGATGCAGCAGCAGCATGACACCTGCCAACCACACATGATAATTTAAGAGAGAAAAAATATCTTATTTCAACTCCGAACCAGGGCAGAGCAGTTTAAAAAAAAAAAAAATCAAGACAACTTGCAAAAATTGATTTAGATAGCAGTGACACTCTGCAGAACTTATTTGCAAGTCTGTGCTGTGCAATTTAAGATAAAAACTGTTTAATGAAATGAAGGATGAGCGCTGCTTGTTTACTTTGTAATGCCACTGCTGTGCCGGAATACCAACGGGCCAAAGCAAACACGCTGAAAGCTGAGCGATCCCCCTCTAAACGGTACCTTCACCCAGTGTTTGGTCCCAGTCACTGCTGGCCTTTCATTTGCAGCCACTAAGTGCTTGGGTTGTGGCTTCAGGAGCTAAAAACTATTCATTTTTAAAATTATGTAATCCATGTAAAGCTGTCACTTTGAATCACAGCTTATCAAGGAGGCGATATTTGGGTTTGCAGTATTCAAAATAGCTATTGTGAGTTTTTGCATTCCTTTGTTCAACACTTTCAAGAACAGAAATGTCTCTCTGGACTCCCATGCCCACTTTCAAGTGCACAGAAGCCCGTCGCCTCCCGCTCCCCGAGCTCCGGGGAGATGGGGCGCACCGGCCCCATGACACTCAACTGCAGCCCCAGAGGAGAACAGGGCCCGCTTGAAGCTCAGCCTGCAGGAAGGCAGCGCAGGTTTCAAACGTACCGCACTGCTTGCTTCTCCTGCTTGTTTTTCAATTGCATGGTGAGGATGTTAATGAGTGTCTGAGCCATGGCAGGCAAGCCCAGGGCATTTCGAACGTGGAAGAACTTCACAGAGAAATAATCTGCATAAAATCTGAAACGCCATTATTAAGAAGGAGGAAAAGAAAATGCAAGCAGAAACCATCCTCCCTCAGCAGCCAAGAGTGGCAAGAGAAGAATGGTTCTACAGAGAAAAATGTATTCATTTGATCCATTATTTATATAAAGTGCTCTTTGTAAAACTGATTTCCCATCACCCTGGGTGACAGCAGGGGGAAGGCAGGAAAAGAAGAGTCCGACTTCATACCTCCAAGGGAAAGACAGCCTGTCGGGGCACCCTGCATCACACCAGGATCCCAGAGAGGGAGCAAGTCCCAGTGCCATGGGAGGCCAGTGCCGTCCCTGCAGGCAGGCAGCGCGTCCCCAAGCAACCCCACGCTTAAGGGTAGCAGCTCTGGGGTTCTGAGCAGACGTTTTCTTCCTTTTGAAGGCGGAGGCACTGCCAAGTCCTTGCCGTCCCAATGAAACTGCTTAAGCCATTGAGCAAAATCACTAAAAATAAAAGCATTTAATATGGGGTTTTCACATGAACACATGGAAAGGCAGCAGTCCAAAACAGTACATACATAGCATACATAAATAAGGACAAAGCTTAAAAATACTTTGGAAACGATAGACTCTGGGAACAGTTAGTGGCTGCTCTGGGAGGAAGCATCCTTGTAAGTCATTGCACGGGGCAGACAAATAAGACACATCCAAGCATGACTAGAACTCCCCCTCGCCTGTGAGACAGTATGAACACATTGGGGCTGCAACAGCCAAAGGTCCTAGAGGCTGAATCCATCAACAACCACGCCACCCTCAGTACACAGAGGACAGCCCAGGGCACCAAATCCCTCCTGAGACTGCCCTGTCTGGATACTGCACCCGCTGCTTTGGCAGGGAAGGCATCCGAGACATGCAAAACGCTGGGCTGATGCACCATAGATAATTTTCCTTAGAGCTAAGCAAATCTCAGCTGTGCCAGAAACCAGACAGAGTCCCTGAGCTAGAGCCATCAGTAAGAGAAGAGTTACCTTCCTCTCATCTATACAGGAGCAGTATATTTATTCTTAGGAACAAGATTGCCTTGCCAAGCCGACATTGCACAGAGATATAGCCCAAGTAAGCGAGGGGTAATGGGGAGAGGAGGGATGGGATGAACAAATGCTTCACCCAGCAACTGCCCCCAATGCAGACAAAAGCAGAGGTAGCAGGACCACACTCATCTCGCCCTGTGCTGCTGCTCGACCTTTGCTCTGCCTCGTCTCTGTTCAGAGGCAAAGCTGAGATCCCCAGGTCTCCTGCAGGGAGACTGCAGGGGCAAGGCAGATGTGCGGTCAGCAAAATATGCTGTGCCCTTCAGAGAAGAGCACATAGACAGCTTCGTCCTCCAGAGGGAATGATTACAGACACATCCAAAAATCACATACTACTACCACAGCAAACAGCCTCTGCCCTTCCTCACAGCATCCTCGCCTGCCTGGTCCCTGAAGAACCAGAGCTCACTCTTTGCTGTGACAGAGGCTCCTAACACCAGCAACTCCCAACTCACACATCTACAGTCGTGCTACCCCCTACGATTTCAAAGCAGCTCCTCCAATTTGGGGTCAGACTGGGGACAGGCATGCTTGATAAAGTACCAGGAACATCCCTTTGGACAGAGCAGCATGAGCCGCATGCTTTGTATGTCAAAAAAAAAAAATCACAGTAAAAAAAAGTGACAAATTCCAGCTAAGCTGCACAGGGCTCCAATGCCCTGCTTTGACAGCTCTAGCCAGTCGGACTGAACTCCTTCCTCACATCGCAATATTCACACCTCCTGTCACCAGTTGTCTCAGAAAGCTGTCAAGGACAGAGCTCTAACTCCTGCCAGCTGCTGGTTCTTAAAGATTAGAAGACAATTATAATTGGATTCCAGAGATTATTTGCTTCACCGAGAAGGGCTGAGAAGTGTTTAGATGGTTCCCCAGTTGATTAAATCTTTATTTCACAGTAGTGACCCTGTGTGTTTCTCACCCCAGAGTGCTTGCAGACAGGTACTTGGCAAGATTGGCTTATTGGAGCACTTCAGCTTAACAAGACAGCTGATACTGGCCAGCTATGATGGGGGTTTATCCTGTATCTAGATGGTTTCATCTCATTTCTGCAGCTCAGGACAAAGAGCTGAATCCAGCTCCAGCCCTTTCCCCGAGTTTAATGACTAATCAGCCAGTTGCCTGACCAGCCATACAGATATCTTGAGTCAAAGCCTTTGGCATTGTTTGCAGCAGATCACAAATGGCCAGAGCCCTCTCTCACCTCTCCTGATGCTCACGCTGTTCCTTATTCTGCACACACAGCCACAAGACTCTGCTTGCTCCAGACACCCCAGCTTCCAAAGGCTGGGCTGTCCTGCCCCAGACAGCCTTTGCCAGCCTCCTGCCCCACTCCACTTAGACTCCCTGAGTGAACACAAAGCAGAGCTACTCCTTGCTCACCAGGCAGAGCTGTGACATGCAAACATGAAGGCAGTGAGCAAGGGCTGCCTCCAGCTCAAGTTGAAACAGAGGGATGAGTTTATTGGGGAAGCTGGCTTCCCCTGGTCCCACTTGAAACGATGGCACCCAGAGCCTCTCCTCTTCTCCCAGGCCCCTCCTGTGCTCCATACCATTTGTGCACTCCAGCCCTTCAAGGACAGCAGGGCAAAACAGAGTCCAGAGAAAGCAGAGGAGGGCATGGCTCCAGAGAAGGCCTGGAGGTAAGGTTAGCTGTCAGGATGTGGGTGATGGTTGGAGTTCATCGTTCTCACTGCTAACAGAGGGGAGGGAGCAAAATCAAGCCAATGTGTTAAAAACTCAGAGCAGAAAAGCAAAAACATACAGCCTAGCAACATTGCAGAGAAAGCTGGGAGTGCATGTGGGGCCCTGCAATGCACAGGGCTCTCCTTATAAGCAAGCACTCCAGCTCTTCCCAGAGCCAGCAGGTCAGACATGCTGCACAAGTTTTGGTTAGATAGTGGTTTGCCCCATAGTAGAATGAAATATAATTTATATACAGAAAGAAACAAGTCCCTGCAGTCTTTGCAAAGGTCCGGTTTCAAGAGCGCTGCCATGGTGGTGAGGGCTGCTGTGAGCCTGCAGCACTCCCCTCTCAGTGCACCACATTATTCACAGCTTGCGAGGCTGGGCATTCCCCACTCGTGCGTTGGTGCGAGGTGATTCAGAGGGAGGACGAATCCTTGGAAAGCAGGTGGGCTCGCATGCGTCTACAGGATTCCTGAAGCAGAGAATTAGAGCAACTGAATGCTTGAGGCACAGAATGCCATGCAAGAAAAGGCTGACATGCTGTCCTTCCCCTGCAAGGACTCCTCCCTGAAATCTGCCTCCCACATCTTTTACCAAAGCAGAGCACTAGATAAGAGGCAGTGAGCAGACAGGGACAAGCACAGCAGTCAGCCTTGGGCTGTACCAGCCTCTCGCCACCCCGACCGGCTGTCAGCACAACCCTGTGCTGTCGGCTTCCCTCTGCTTCCTGCCAGCTTGCAGGCAGAAGGGCTATACACACCTGCTTTGGTGAAACCCTTCAAGACCTGGCTTCCAGCATGACAGCTGCCTGCAGCTCAGTGCAGAGCAGGCTGCTACAAGCCAGGGGACCGCAGCTGTCACAGAGCCTTGCATGCAAGCCATCACCTCTGCAGGTGTCCGAGCCCAGCAGGCCAGGTTCCCCACAGCAGGGAGAATGGGCGCACGTTCGCATGTCTCACCTCTTTCCGGCCCTCCAAAGATTTCAGCTTCGCTTGGGACATGTGAGCTGGAGATCCACATTTCTGTAACTGGACAAGAGAGCGGAATAGGAACAGAGAGCTGGGAAATGAAATGACATCCACAGCCTTCCCTGGGAGCAGTCTGTACTGCCAGAGAGCAGCTACCATCCAAATCCACTCTTGGTTTGTCTGGGCTATGGGACAACCCTACTACCCACAGGCAGCAGACTCTGTACAACTTGTGGAGGAGGATGGGAGGGAAGGGGGCACAAGCCAATGCCTCAGGGCAGGGACATAGCTAGAGGGACAAGACTGGAGCAGAGGCCCAGAGCTGACACCCCTGTCCTGATGCTGCCCTTGCCATCGTCTCTCCTCACAGCAACTTCCTAAAACCTTATTTGATCATACAGAAGAAACTTGGAAACCTTCTCTTGGGCAGAGAACTGCAAGCAGCCCCCAAGGATCACTGAAACGAGTGCCCAAGTTGCAGTCAAACTCCCCTCACACGTTTCCCCACCAGCGGCTTCAGTGGTGCTGGGAGCAGCTCTTACCAGGTGGATGTTCTCTTTGCTGACTCGCTCAGGCTCCGGTGTGGCATCCCTGCTCTTCCTCTCCAGGATAACCGGGGTTCCCAAAACTTTCCGCTGCCGTAAGAAGAGAGGGCTGTTGGCTAGTACTTAGAGCACAAAGTGAAAAAGAAAGGGAAGGAGCAGGATGCATTGCTGGTAAGCAGTTGGATGCTGGGAAAGAAAAAAGGAAGCCAAGCTAGGACAAAGACTGCAAAGCAGAACCACCTGAAATACCATGCTGCTAGGCTGAGCCTGCCTGATTGCAAAGGGTTTGGGAGCTGACCTGGGGTCTGGCCAGGAGCCCAGCCTGTCAGAAGCAGGAACGTGCTGCTGTGGGGCAGCCTACAGTGTGCTAATGCCTGTGCTAACAGGCTAGACTACACGACCAGCTCCCTGTCAGTCCTCATCTCAGGAAGCAACCAATCCTTCAGAAAGATGCATAGATCCTACAGCCATGCGTTTAATAGATAATTATACTTTACACTAACAAGGCTTATTGTTACTGTGCTGCCTTTTCTGTCCCCAGAGGATCTGTGTTCTTTGGCAGCCAATACTTTGAACAGCCCCTATCCTTTGAGGGTCCCATTCAAGCCAGGGCAAGGAAGAAGCAGAGAGCAACATCAGAAACTCACAGCAGAGAGCATGGGTCAGAGGCTGACTTTACCTTAATGAGGCCACTGAAGGAGCGTGAGCGGGTGCGTCGCGGTGCTGGGGATGTGGGTACATCAGAGACAGGAGTGAGAGCTGTAGGATGCTTAGTAAACTAGGAGGAAACATGAGGGAAGTATGTTAGCACTGTTACAGTTACACCAGTCTCTTGCTGCTGTGTGCTGCTCTACCTGCTGCCCTCTGCCTAGAACTCAGTTTGTCTCTTCCGCACCCCAAAACGGAGGAGCAGCTCAGAGCTGCAGGGATAAGAAAACAGAGGAAGGCCACATCTCCCACCCAGGATTACAGGGAGCTTGGGTGTGAGGCTGCTTTGTGCTGGCTCCCAGATTATCCAAAAGCAGCAGGTGTTGGAGCAGAAAGTGGGGAGGGCAGCAGCTGGAGGCTGGCAGCCAGGACTGGTGCTGACTGTATTGACCAGTCTCTCTGGAGCAGCAGGTTGGCTGGGAATGCCCACAGAACTGAGAGGACATCAGTTTGTCCACTCCCTACAGGCAAGAGAGGACAAGACTTTTCCCTTTCTGAGGGAGGAAGCTCAACAAGGCCATGATCAGGACTGGAGAGCTGCTGGCTGGCAAGTCCCTGGCTTGGAAAACAGCTCAAAGCACAGCTTGGTGCAGCAAGCTCCACGGTCAGCCACATCCAGGATAGGCAGCCTCCTCCTGTGCTTTCTTACAGCTCTACCCCTTACACAGCCCAAAGCCCACTCTCCCCAGCCTGCCCAGGATTAGCAGCAGCTCTCAAGAAGGCCCTGCCTTTAGCCCTGTGGCCAGAACTGCGCTGACAAGCACACTTCAAAGATATCTTTCATCCCCACACTACCTGCCGGATAAGCTTCTTCTTCTTTGCAGAGTCAGGCATATTGTGGACATGGCGGAAGAGCTCCTTCAGTGCCTCCTCCGTGCGCTGCTGGGTCTCCTCCTGATGGCAAGTGTCCAGCCGACTTCGCTTCTGAGACTTGAGGGGCTGCAGCTCCTTGGAGCCAGGAGACGTCAGCAAATCCAGGTCATCCTGGGAAAGCGGAGACAGCAGTCGCTTGTCGTGCTTTAATCCAAACGAGCCACCCATCTGAGCCAGGCTGGGAAGAGTCTCATGAGCTGCCTCCTCAGCCCCAGTGAATGCACAGGGCTGTGTTTTCCCTACCCCTCTGCAGCAGCACTGCACCAGCAGGCCCTGTGCCAGGAAGAGGTGACGGCAATACAAAGGTGACCCCGTTGCTTCTTCCCTCCCCTCCCAGATACCAGCTGCAGAAGCCCTTCCAGGCTGCAGAAGGGTCAGTGCAGCTCCTTGCAACGTACCTTCCCTCTTCTGCAGCTGTGTGAGGCAGGGAAGCATTTGCTGGCAAGATACAGACAAATCTTGTCCCAGTGGCAGCAAGTAGCCTTTATCCCAGCCCCTCTTCCAAGCAGCCTGGCCACAGCAGCAGGCGCATCTGTCTATTTGGAAGGTACAACCCCATGAAGGAGCAGGTGCTGCATGTATTGGGCACAGAGAGCAGGTTTGCTGCTAAACAGGGGCTGGTAGCTTTCCCCATGCTTTTGATTAACAGATGCTTCAACTCTGCCCAATTTCCCTAATGCAGCCGCCTGTACTACCACACCATATGGTTCCTCTGCTCCTGCTCTCTGACAGATCTTCTTTCATGACTTGGGTTGTTTTCAGCTTCTTTCACCCAGAAGGATCCCTTCGTAGTATCATAGCCTCTGCCCTTCCATGGAGGGCAGGCACTGCATCTGCTGGCCTTACCTTTGATGTGTGGGATCTGGATCCCAGATAGTGCAGCCTGGCACACTCCCGGATGTACGCTGGGGCCTGTGACGATGAGCAGAGAAAAGGTCAAACGTATGTTTAGTA